CTTACAGTACATGCATCACACACAAGGTTTGAAGTAAAATGAATGCACATCCTTCCATTGAATTTCATGCATCTTTTTTTAGTTTGAAGGAAAAATAGCATAAAATCCAGGAGAGAAGTCACAGTTTTTTGGGGGTCTGTGGGAGGGGGAAAGGTTTAAACTGTTTTACTGTGGGATAATTTCCTTTGTGTTCAGCGGGAATCAATATGTGCAGTTTCTGTGCAGCTGTGTAGCTCTTTGCAGTAACTGTTCGCACCATGTGGAGTTTGCGAGCCTGCTAGCTAACGGTACAGTAGAGCTTTAAGTCTACAGTAATGTTGATATTTGTGAAGAACGGACCAATGGAACGGATATTTGCACTGCCCTTCTCCAATGGTCACTTGTTGTCTTTAATGAGGGGTCTATTCAATCAAACCAGCACTCTACAAGGTTTATATAAATTACAGTATTCCACCGTTCACACCATTCTGAACTTATGCTCTATTGCACTATTGTTCTAAAAAAGAGTTTTATTAAAAAATTTTTTTAAAAAGACTTTAGGGGATGTCAGTAACCTAGTGGTCAGTGCGTGTGACCCCATGTACGAAGGCGATGGTCCTCCAAGCGGGCAGCCCATGTCTCCCCACTCTCTCTCTCCCTTATTTCTGACTCTCTCTCCTGTCATATATCTAAATAAAGGCATAAAAAAGGGCCTTTTAAAAAAACCTTTAGGTCAGGAATACTTCCAATATATCAATGCTACAAAGGTAAAATCTATCTTAGTAAACAGGCAAGTCATGTTCAGGAGTAGATGTTTGAAAAAAATAAGCTTCAGTTAAAGCTGTACGCTCAGCTATTCAGTGTTTGATTTGAGTCTGAAGTTTCTCCGTTGATGCCATGGATTTAAAAATGTGAGAATTGCAGGTTCTGATAAACTAGTTTTACATTGTTGTCTGACTGCTCATGTTTCTCCCCTCATCTAACCCTGCTGTGGCGCAAAATGATTCACTTAGTTGTGATAAACTGGAGGTGTCATGTCATTTACAGCAACTCCCCACTAATGACTAGCCCTATTAGTTGACTGTGATTAAATTAATGTCCGATTCACTTTCCATTGTCTCTAACGATAAACTCTCCCTGTGTTTTTCAGCTAACTCTGCACCCCAAGGTGTGCTCCTACATTCATAAATTTCCCCATCACCCAGATCAACGGAGAAGGTCACTTCAAAGCAGGGCCTGAGTCACGGGGGCAATAGAAGTCTGAGGCCGACAAATGCACCAGTTGTAAAACTTAACAAGGTGTGAATGCCCTCTGTGTGCCCTGACGCTCCAGCATGCAGGGACGGCCTGTGGAAGATCTCAGGGCCGTTGGTTACATTGCAAAAAATGTTGATTCTGACTGGATGTCATGTTTTCAGTCGGAGAGAAGCACTTCAGCTCAAGCGTCTGTCAACTTCACCGTCTGAGACAAAGAAAACAGAGATGCAGCCCAATTCACACAACAAACAAGCTTTTGTTCTATGAAATGTATTCTCTGATGCAGGTTTTGTCTCATGAACGGCTGGTTAAGTGGATGTTTACTGATCAGAGGAAATACTCAATGGATGTCAATTGATCCCAGCTAATCATCAATTTACGACTCGGCCAACACAATAAACAAGAGGCCTTCATGTCCATTGTTTTCCTTAAAGAGGGTTGACTGGTGAAACTGTGGCGATACTGAAGAGAAGGTCATGCCATGGCTTCATTTACAGTAAATCACCATCTTTCCTGCTTTGTTGATTTTATATCAAAAAGGAAAAGTTGCAAAGTTTTCACTTCTCAATCTTTTGTGCAGGATTTAACCACATATGTGAAATTCAATAGAAAAAACAAATTCACCATTATTTTAAAAACATTTGTCCCAATTGCCATTAAATATCTGAATCGGTAAGGGCACCACATCAGCCTGCTACCTCATAATGCACATAGCACCTCTGAAGTATTTATATTGCAACAACCTTGCAAGCCTTTGTTTTATAAGAAGCTCTTTTTTGTCTGTGTTTTTCTGTTTTCATCATGAATATGTTTTTTTTTGTGTTTTTTTTGGTGTTTTATGTTTGTTTAAATTTTTTCCATCTTGTCTGAAAGTGTTGCCTTTTTCTTTTGGGTGGCATTTGTCTGTACACGTCAGTCAAGGAGTCAAGTTTCTGCCTTTGCATGCAAAAGAAGCCAATACAGTACTTTCTAATCTTTACTTGAACTGCAAGTGGCATCTATCTGATGAAAGAAAAGGTCAACAAGCATTTATTGACCTGAGCAAAAAAGTATTGCATTGTTCTAGACAAATGGTCAAAAATCAAGTACTCAGTGGATAAGGCTGATGTTATCAAGCCTTCCTTTAGAAAGGATATCATACATATTAAAGGTTAAACAGCAGGCGTTCGAGATCTACTGAGACCTTTCATTATTTATTTCAAGGATCTAATCCTGACACATGATCAAGTGATTTATGTGGATAATACAATTTCCGAACATGTAGAAATCTATTTTATCTTTTTTATAGCTACTATAACTTTTATTTTCTGTATTTATTGCAATTTTATACTCAATGTTGTGTAGATAAGAATTCAGTATGATATGAGATGCATTGATTGTTTTGTTTATATTGATTTATGTTCAGTTTTGTTGGTGTATGCAACGTGTTAATATCTTGATAATGTAAATTTATGACCTGTATCTTTTGGTGCTAAAACTACATTAAAAATAATGGAATAAAAATCAGGCTCAAATTGATGGTCATTCTGCCCCAAATGAACAGGGAGAGCATCAAATGTCCAAACTTCCATGCCATTAAGGATGGAAGAAGAGATTAAGTCTATCCCAGTTTCCATGTGTCAAATGCAGTATACCAAAAAGCAGGATCCCCAACTTTCTCATGTCATATTTTGCAGTGTGCAAGCCACTCAGCTTTTTAAATGTACACTACCCTTAGCTCAGTGAAAATAAGTTACATCAAATGAGCTGCAGAGAGCGTAGGCATGATGAGTGCAATGATTTTGATATCCTTTATTAATCCCTGAGGGAAATTCAGGTTTACACTGATGACACAATGATGCTACAAACTGTGATGGATGAGCAAAACTTTGCACCTTTCCAAGGTGCAAAGTTAAGCAGTATGTCCAAATTGGCAGAAAATACAACAGTAAAAAAATAAAATAATAATGCAGTTGGGAACACAGGAAAAGAGACAACTCTAAAAGCTCTGATGGTGTTGCGCTCAAGTTTGTCCCCACAACTCTGCTGACCTGTTGTCCTGTGTTGTCTGGGAATACTCTTAAAGAAGGAATTCCTCCTGCACAGCTAAAGCAGGGAAAGCAACAGACAAAAACATTTTTTTGCAGATGCATGCAACCCTCATCTTCTCTAAAACTTTGAATTCTGCGTGCCACGATCCTTTTCACTTTGTCTCTTGTTCATTGCATCGTCTATGAGGGTGGTATTTTAGTCCTCTTTTATACCTGAACACTCTTTAATGTGCAAACCTTTATCTTGTTTTCACTGGAATGGTCTTGGGAAGATTATGTTTGAATATAAACATACAAGGCCTTGACTGAAGAATACTATATGGAGGTGTGAGTTACCAACATTAAGATTAAAAACTGTAATGTTCTCAAATTTACTTCGATGGATTACAATGCTGTTTATTTTGTATCATGCAGTGATGTCACATGTAGCTAATGACTCTCTAACAGTAGGCTAAACGTGACATGTAGCGGTGGACTTACTTTTTTTACAGTGTTTAAGCCCTTTGGGGGGGGGGAGAGGAAACATCAGGTGGCTGGTTGGACCTCTGGGCCTGGACACTTCTGATTTATCTGTGCATCTCAGAATTATGTTGTCGACCTCTTCACCTTGCTGCCATTTGTGTAACCCCCCAAGTTCTGTTCAGGCAATCACCCCCTCCCCCCCTGAACCCCACCAACCACAGAGGAGCCCGCCGCAAGCAGCAGAGTCATCGACAGTTCGGTACACACACACACACATACACACAGGCAGGGTCAGAAATAATACGAGTGAGACTTGTTTTAGTCTTTATGAGCCTCTTTTGAGCTCTGAGCATGCTGGGAAAAGGGTCTGTACATTAAAAACTTAAATTTAGTAAAGGCTAATTTTGTGTTGAAACGTCCTGTATTGTCTTATCTAAAACACTGAGCTCTTAAAGTGCTGCTTGTGTTTTTCTTGCAGCAGGTCGTGAATATCTGTAAGATGAGCTTAATTTAGAAGCATAGTGATACATGGTAAATTCTGCAGGGGAAATGAAACACATCCAGTTCTGTGTCCTAATGGACAGCCTGTCAGAAATTAGATGACAGCACCATCTCGTGGATTGAATCGTTAAGACACGTTCACAGATAATTAACTTTTTAACGACACACTCACAACAAAAGAAAAAAAATTCAAGACCACTGTTTGGGTTTTGCTGGGTTGAGGTCACTTGTCACTTGGTTTTTATTTTCTGATTTACTCAATGCTAAAGCTTTTTATCAGATCTTTATTCAGTTTGGGAAATAACCTGTGTGTTAAAGTGATTGAGTCTGAGTTGCAGGACCCCAATTTGTAAACACCCACGGATATACATTTATACAGATACACACACACACACACACACACACACACACGCACGCACACATACAACACACACACACACACACACACACGCGCACACAAATGAAAGAAGGCTGTTGTGCCTCAAATACAGAAAGGCTATCAAGTCATATTTGCATTCCTTTAGCATATGAGCTGTGTGTTTGCAGAAGAAGAAACGCACCAAGTACCCTGTATCATTCCATAAGACAGTGAAGTTAAACTCCACATCTCTTGTTCCTTACAGGAGCCTTAGCCTACTTAGATTTCACTGCAGCTTATGGTAGCGGTAGTGTGCGTGTGGGAGTGTGTGTGTGTGGGTGCGTGCAGGGTGAGAGGAAGTAGAATGTTACCATGTTACCAAATAATGCATCAAAACCTCAGACCAAACCCACAGCCGTCAGTCAGCTTCTTAATGCATGCCTTTTTTTTCATTACTCAGTATATAAGTGCTCGATCCACGCGCCTTAACGCAGAGCTGCACCCGAGCGCGCGCAGAACCATGGCTCCCCGGTATGTCCAGTTCATCCCCGCGGTGGTGCTGCTGGTTCTGGCTATAGTCGGGATCCTGCTGGTGGTCCTCCCGGCTACAGAGACCGAGATCCCTTCTGATAACATGGTAATGCGAAGAGTATTATTTGCATGTTCGTTTAATTGACGCGTCCGGAAGATTCAGTGGAAAGATGCGCAATGGTTATAGGTAGCATCAGTGTGGAATGTGTGGTTTTCTACAAACAAATGCAATGTTTACTGTTACAAATATAGATTATTTATTTTAAGTAATTTATATACCATTGTCAGCCATCTCAAAACGTATAGTGTCTTCTCACATAACCCATTACTTTAGGTTGTGGTAAGAACATTTCAGGGCAGCCCTGCACGCCCCAAAGCACACTTGATCAATTTGGCTCTAAATGGGAGCATCGTTTTTAAACTGAACACCTTCCTGTTTTGAAGGAGACTTGAAACTTGAGGTTGAGACCATAAACTCGTTATGGAAATGTTTACTGAGGGAATGAATCAGTTTAGAAGTAAGGTCATCTTTCTCATTTCTACACAATCTGACTTATATTTGTACCGGTGGACTCATCCCCTGCTGGCCATAGAAATAATGTAGTTTACACAAAGTTTCATACAGATGTCGGGTTTTAAATGTGGGTCCTTTAAAGTATTACCTAATTTAAATAGTTGATTATTGAAACGGGTCCCATAATTCTAGATTACATAAGTTAAAAGATAAAAATTAGATGATAAATACATTTTATAAGTAGCTTGTTGGCTCATAGCACTGCAGTTAAATGCTCGGTTGAGATTGGACATACAGTTGTCTTAATGTGAGCCTCATGTTGTCATAAGGGGAACTTGCTCAGACATTAAGTGTGTCAGCTAAATGCAGTAAATGAGCTAAAACACAGCAGTATTTATAACAATATGACTTGGGTTGTAATGCCAAATCAGAATGTAAGACTGAACTTTTTAGTCAAATGATAACAGGAATTATGGGTGCATAGAGTCTCTCAGCATGGGCAACTTGGTTTCTAAAGGCTTTGAGACTCCTCCTCATCATGTAACCCACAATAAGTACCTGGCAAGGAACTCTGCAGGCTAATTAACATACTAATTACTTGCTTATTTTGTTTCCATTTATTTTTAGATAGGGACAGAGCACATGTTAATGAGTACTTAAACAGTAAGTCAGAGTTTGTAATAGTTGCTCATTTAGATCATTTACAGTCGTTGATGAGCTGTCATGGCTTCACAGTGTGCAGTCCCACAGTCTGTGTAATAGTTTTTTTAGCCGCTGTTTTGAAGTTTCAGGTTTTTTATTAATCTGGCTTTTATGTGTTTTGTGTGAAAAACAAGAATTCGTCAGTGCTTCATCATGGTTGTCTTTCCTTGATCTGTTGTCAGTCACATTTCTATGTCAATAAGTGCTATCTTTAACACGGGCTGTGAATTTGAATTGTCATTGTCATGAAACATCATAACCACTTCTGCTACACATTTTACTTGGGAGATTTTGCAACAAACGTCTGACAGCCAATTTCCCCACAGCACTGGATATCAGCCAGCTAAAGTGCGCTGGCGAGAGAACTTATGCTCACGTTAACTAGCAGTAAAGAAAGACAGCTATAGAATCTGTCCAGAATGGATCAAAACACAGCAGAAGCAATTCGGGACAACTAGAAACAATTAATGAGGAGACAATTTGTTTAGGATGACATAACGTTAGCAGATGTGTTTTCTTGCTGTGAACCATGACTGGTTTTGAATCTAGGTTCTGGCAGACAGCTGCTCTCCCCTCTGCCATTACTGCGGACCGCCACTGAATCTATTAGTTGTACGCAGTACTGAACCTTACCGGCCTATCTTCCCTTCTTGCTTCTATCCCAATTTTAACTATTTTTTATTTGTATACACATTATTTTCACAAGTCACCATATATTTATATTTACTCTGGGGCTTGCTCTGGTGAGTTGTTTCTGCTTAGTACTACAGAGCAGCAGAAGTCTCTCTGACCAGAGTGAGAATTGACCACATTTGAGAGGACAACAGCCGAGACTGTCGATCAGAAAAATGGAGGAGCACTACAGGGGCTCTTCTTTGGGAATTTTGCTTCCTAATCAAATCCAAACTAAGGAAAATACCCTGATACATATGCTTGTTTTAAGTTTTATGAGAAACTGAAGTAAAATCAGCAATACAATCAGATGAAGGTAGAATTTGAAGTGTTATTCTGTTTCCACACATGACAAAGCATCTCTCATTTTGTTGTGCAGACGGTCACTGAGTGTGAAGAAGTTGCAAACATTGTTTCAATTGTAATACAGTCCACACGACGTCTGTGCTTTAGCCTCATCCTGTCATTTCAACTGTATTGGCAGTTTGCACCACTTAGTGCCAAAAAAAGCCCCCACAAACAACAATCAGCTTATTTTTGCAGGTTTATGTGTGAAACTGTTGAGTCATCATGTGCATTGAATGCCCTTTAGAGCAGTGTTATTGACAGCCTCAATAAGAGGCTGAACTCATGCTGTGCTGTATGTTCTTTCACCGCGTGGTTTTCTGACATTTAACACTGTTTCAGTTTGGCATCGTTCTGGATGCTGGGTCGTCTCACACCTCTATGTACATGTACAAGTGGCCGGCTGACAAGCAGAATGACACTGGGATTGTTACTCAGCACAGCGAGTGTCATGCCAAAGGTGAGTGCCAAATGAATCATGATTGAGGGAGCTGTTTCCTAAAACAAGCAGAGAAACTTCAAAACCAGAGAGAACGTAGGAGATGTTACCAGATGTGCAGTTTTTAATGTGTATTAAAAATGTTAAAATGTAAAATTATAATTTAGTCATAGATTTTGTTTTAGCATTTGTGACTGATGCTTGAGGAGAAGGTCTGTCAGATTAACTCATTAATTGGTAAAACATGAAGTCTTGATAAGGCTCGCCTTGGTTGCTGTTGGTGTCATTCATGCCTTTGTTGGACACTCCCCTTATGCTTATTGGTCTAACCAACAAACCGAACCAGCCTACCTTTGCAGGTGCCTCATTGGCTGATATAGAGTGGATTTATATAAGATGAAACACGTAGGTCAAATAAAGTGAATAGTTAATAAAGTTGAGCTTTTAGACCTCTTCTTGAAGAAGTTATCCAGCTGTTCAAAGCTAATTGTTCCCAGAGCGTAGAGGGGAAAAGTGGATTGTATTAGCCTACAGACTGAAATTAATATTGAAGTGTCTAAAATGAGACTATAGACCAACAGAACTTACAGGGCTGTGTAGCCTAGCAGTTATGGCCTATGAGCAGAGGCTATGGTCTTCGTCGAAGCAGCCATGGGTTAAAATCTGACCACCGCCCCATTTGCTGCATGTCATCCCCCACTCTCTTCTTCCAACATTTCCTGACTCTCTTCAGCTGTCCTATCCAATAAAGGCAAAAAGGCCAAGTAAAATCACCAAGTACATTTACATAGGAGGAATTTAACTTGGTGTTTTGGTGTGAATCAATAAGCAAAGGACTAAAGCAAAGATGGTAAAACGCTTTAAAACAGCAGTGCTCCTGCTGACAACTTAGATACTAAGATAAAACAATACAACAAGCAATTAAAAAATATATAACAGAATGTAAAAATATGAAAACACAAAATGTGCAAAAGGTGCAATGGGGAGCTGTGCAGGTGTGTATGTGTATTATTTATATTTACAACAACAAAAAATGCTCAGTATAAATCTCCTCACAGCGTGTAGTTAACAGAAAATATCCTAGTCCAGTGTGCGTTATTGTAACCCATAAATCGGTTCCAGAATTCAATAATATTGTTTTTGTAGCGCACTTTTCATAAAAAAAAAAAAAAACAAGTGCTAAAGAATTTAAATAAGATGATCATAGATATTAAAAGCACAGGCAAGTAAAGAGGGGAAAAAACAGCGTTAAGTACAGGATAGAATCAACGAAGAGACGCTTTGTCCACAGCGGGCACCAAATATTGACATAAACTAAACGTTCCTCACAAGCGTCTTAAAGGAAGCAGGTTAATGTTAACATACTTTGATTTTGGTTAGCTTCGAGATTCTGCAGGGGCTCTGTGACCTTTAAGCCACTAGCGAACTAGCGGCTGACTAACTGAAAATGTGTGGTTAGCTTGTAACATGGAAGGAAGCTCTGTCTGAGCTGAGAGGTTGTGCTCAAAGTTTTCAGTTTGCAACCGTTTGTGATCTGTGGTTTTGCAAAGTGGATGATTAAAGACCTCTACTGAATCACAAATTATTTAAAATCTCTCACAGGTTTTTATGTTAGATGACGGTCTGAGCCTCTGTAATAGTAAACATGTATTTATTGAAAACAGGGACAGCATGAACACAAATATGGAAATATGTGTAAACATGTGATTTTGCATATTAACTTAATTCTTGAATTCAAAAAACGTATACATTTTAAATCTCCCTTGCACTCTTTTTGTTTTTATATGCCTGGACTAAATTCCTATTTACTCAATGAGAGAGTGGTCATTTATACTGTCCATGCTGGAGATATCCAAGTTTGAGCTTTAACCGTCCTACCAGTGTGATGTAGATCAATGTGCATTGCTCACATTTGTTATTTCTTTTTTTAAAAATGTACTAAAAAAATTTAGTAAAAATGATCCGAGGGTCAAGAACCACGTAACAAGTAAGAAAACATGTTTTTCTTTTGATTTTCATTTTGACATTTGATATTCAACCTATTGAACTTTATCCTATGAACTAATAGAACTGAAGCAGTTTCAACATGCCATGTCTTGAGCAAGACCGTTGCTCTCTTCGGGTTTACTTCCTCACCAGACAGTTCGTGACACCTAAGTCACTGCCAGTTATTCCTCTTCTGGCTCTGATTTGTTTTCGGAGTCTCCTTAGTAACATACACTGAAACCTCGTCTCTGTATGTCCTTTAAGAAAGGGAAGTCCAGTTTGTATGAAGGTCATACTGAGTTTGTCATAACTACTTTCTCTCCATATCAAGGTGGAGGGATATCGAGCTATGCTGGTGTTCGCGGTGGGGCAGCTAAAAGTCTTGAGGCGTGCATGGAACAAGCCCTGAAAGAAATCCCCAAATTCCGGCACCGCCAGACTCCTCTCTATCTGGGAGCTACTGCAGGAATGAGGCTCTTGAGGTCGGTGATGATTCCCATTAAGACAGGATATCTGCCTTTTATTACCACCACTCTGCTCTTCAAGTATACATTAATGCATTAAAATGAACCTGAGAAGGATTTGATATTGTTACATTTTCCATTTAACTCCGACCACTTTTTTTTTAATAGCATAGTCAATGCCTCAGAGTCCAACCGAGTCCTGAAGGAAGTGGAAACCAAACTGAAGTCTTATCCTTTCAAATTCAAAGAGGCAACCATCCTGAGCGGACAGGAAGAGGGCGCGTACGGCTGGGTCACGGTTAACTACTTACTGGAAAACTTTGTCAAGGTGAGATTTAAATGTTGTCAAGAAACAAATATTCATACAGTTACAATGATCTCCCTTAAGACTGACACTGAGCTGTAAAGACGTTGGTTACTCATAGAGACAGTATAAAAAACAGGACTGTGTCAGGACCCGGCTCCTAAGGCCTGTCAAAAAAACAGGGAAATGTACAGTTTAACTAAACGGTGTAAAAATCTGTTACAAATATACCAAAACTAATAACCACTTACAAAGAGAGTGAGGTGTGTTTTTCAGTAGGTTGGCTGTTGTGAAAGTATGTGGTGTGTGTGCTGCATGTGGTATGGTGTCAAAACCATAAGCGGGAGCAATTTGATGTTAAGTGTCTTTCCCAAGGACTTCATCAGACCGATCGTCCCGCCGACCTCCCGGTTGAGAGATGAACGATTCTATTAATTGAGCCACAGCCGTCCCTGTGTCAAAACCATACCAGCGACCAAACAAAGACAGAAGGGCAAAACACAACAGCACGCCCTACTGGCTGGAGGGCCAGCACAACTGCCTTTCAGTGGAGGCTGATGTGCTAGATGTGTGTTCTTATGGGCAGAAAAGAGATGAGATTAGTGATCCGGGAATAGCTTGGTGGTGGATAATGACTTTTCCACTGTAACAGAATATGAGCCTTAAGTGAGGTAAAAGCAACAACATCAGAGTCTTTTCTAGTAATTTAATTTTTAGACTGGTAGCTATAGGAGGATACTGCAGACGTACCACCATTTATCGTTTGTCATGGGAGAGACGCTCCATTCATGAATGTTCTTTATTATTACCCACACATAGTTCAACAGCTTTGAATAAAAGAATAAGCGACACATTAAGGAAAAATAAGGAACTGGACCCAATTCCAGAATTTTTGTCTTAAATGTCCAAAATTTTAATGTTTTAATTTTAAGTTTCAGTCCAACAAAAAGTAACTAAAAAAACAGAAGAGAAGCTATCTCACAACAAATTACAGTGAACGATCACTGGGAACACGGGAAGTGGTATGAACTGACAAGATATGACAAAAAGTAGCAGTGTCATGTATGATGATCATACATGATGATCAACTTTACATTATTTTCAGGATTGAATTAAAATTAAAATTTAATCCTGGTGTATTTGGTGGCGGCAGTAGCACAATCTGTAGGGACTTGGGTTAGAAACCAGAGGGTCACCAGTTCAAGTCCTGGTACAGTACAGACCAAAAATATGGAGGTTGTTCTGGTAGCTGCAGAGGTGCTTTTGAGCAAGGCAAACACCCAACTACTCTGGTGTACTCCCTGCGTAGCAGCCCCACTCTGACATACATTACATTAATGTATTACATTAACACATGTCCACAGGTCCTGTTTGTGCATGTGTGTATTTCATGCCTATGTGTGTGAGAAGCATGTCTCTGAAATAACAGTGTAAACCAGAATTTCCGTCAGGGATTAATGAAGTATTTCAAAATCAAATATTTTTTATTCACTTCAAAAACTAATCATCTTAAAAAAAAAAAATCATCTTTTAAAAAAAAAAAAAGAAATGACAGCAGTTTTTGCTAGTACTGTCGAGTGACTTTTGAATCTGCCTCACAGTTATTTATACTTGTCAGTTGTATGACATGAAACCATTGTAAGTTCCTGTTTCCTGTGGCTCAGTGGTACAGTTGTTGTAGAGGTCTGCGATTTGATCCCCAGCTCCTGTATGTCGAACCGTCCTTGAGCGAGGCACTGAACCCCAAACTGCTCACACTTTTTGTATGAATATCATTAGTCAGTACTTTACAAAGCAACCTCAGCCCTCACTGTGTGAACGTGGTGTGAATGTGTAGGTGTGACCTGCGGTGTAAAAAGTCCTTTGAGTTGACAGAAGAGAGAAGACCTATAAAAGCTAAAGGATATTTGCCATTTACTCTTCAGTGTTGGGGAGCTGGATCTAATATCTCCACATTAATGGAGGCAGACTTCTAAAAATGTTCACTTGCTGCTGAACCAGTGGAGAAAGGCCTCTTTAGTTTTGAATGTTGTCATGCAGACGTATAAATTGGGACTCAAAGAAAAATGGAGACTGACGGCAACTTTCATGAATCATATCCAGTTAGTGAAGACACTTTCACATTCCTTTGACCTGCTGGTTGTTCACCTGGTAGGAGCCGTTTGACATACAGTGTTATACAAACTGACACAATCATTGATTGATGTTGCTATAGATGTGTTCTGGTTACATGGCTAAAATAATTCCACGAGGGAGTATTTAGAGTAGATATTTTTCATGTGTGTTCCCTTCTGAGTGGACACTCTTCAGTGTGTCTTTCTTGATCTTCATCATTCATATTTTCCCGTCTTGACTTGCTCTTTCAGTTCGGTTTTGTCGGGCGTTGGCTGAATCCAGGCAGAGACACAATCGGAGCTCTGGATTTGGGCGGCGCTTCGACTCAGATCACGTTTCAGACGTCTGACACGGTGGAGGACAAGAACAACTACATGGAGCTGAAGCTCTACGGCCACACCTACACACTGTACACCCAGAGCTTCCTATGCTACGGACAGGACCAGTTCCTGAGGAAACTTTTGGCTTATCTCATCAAGGTACAGTTAATAACGTGTAAACATGTACATCTGTTTTCACATTTTCACTGTTCCTACTGTTCCTACTGTTCCTACTCTTCCTACTGTTCTCATGGATTATTTTTCCTAACCTCCTGAGAGGTAAGAGGTCAACCTCAACTAAATAACATCTCTTTACAGTAACTTGCCAACAGGCGTCAATTCCTTTAAGGAATAGTTTTACATTTCAGAAGATAAGTTGCGTTCTTAGTTGCTTCCTTGCAGAGAGCTCATGAGAGGATCAATACCACTCAACTGTCTTTCCTTTGAATAACCTGATAATATATATATCCTCGGCTTCTTTAAATCCAAAGTGCATTTAAACATGTTTCCCTGTTTTAAACTGGATGAGGATGAGAGGGACTTTACACAGGTATTGATTCATCTTCAGAGTAGAAAAAGCGCTGACTGTGAGAACATGTAAATCCAAGACGAACTGACAACTCGTATACCTGCTATAGGCTGCTACCTAGCTAGTTGATCCTTCGTCATAAAAAAATTTAGGCCAGTATTAAATTGGACAATAGTTTTGAATTCCATGCATGCACGCTGAATCATCAATATTTATACTAATTACAAACTCCTTTTATTCATTGATAATATCTCTAAAACTACTTTTTGTTTCATAATTGGATTAGAAACTGTCCATCAGCACAAGACTGTGTCACGTTTGAGGAATAAACTAACATGGAGGATCCAGGTGCAGACAGTAAAATTATTTATTTGAATAAAAGACAAAAAGGCAAAAACAGAAATCAGAAAACTTAATTTACGAAGTCCAAAAAAAGTCACAATGGAAAAAGTAACCTTGAGGAAAAATCACAGGAAGCAGGCTCGGATGGGTAAGACAACAAACTGACCACTAGAGGGAAGGTACAGAGAAATTAAATACACAGGAACTAATCAAACGCAGTTGTGAGAAACATATGGCTCCTTACCTGCATGACATCCGCCCAACTCGCTCTCTCATGAATTTCCTACTCTGCCCTATCTAATAAAGGCATAAAACCCCCAAAATACACCTTAATTTTTTTTTTTTTATTCTGGCCAATCTGCAGTAGTAGGTTATACATCCAGGCATTTCTCGCATACACAAAATTGCATACTATGATTTCGGAACCTCCTACATGCTCAATGTGAACATTTTGCTGTTTCGGATACAGCCAGGGAGTGAGAAACACGAGGTAAGGAAAAGACAAAATCAAACAGTATTTAGGGGTTTCTCTCTTGACATAATGAGACTTTCTTAGCATTCTCTTGTGGATTTATTTATCAAAATGTATCTTGATGATAGTAGGATACTTAAACAATGTATTTCTATAGGGGTTTTTTGGTACCTGATTAGAAAATAATGAATTTCAGCTGTGTGGGGTCACGTGTCTGTTTATGTATATTTAAGATGGCGACTCACAAATACATTTTCAAGTTTTCATTTCATTTATTATACAGGAAAGTTTAAAAGTAACATTAAGTTACAGTTTAACAGGCCTGACTCAGTTTAAAAAACTGGTATCCAGCAGGTTCCTGTTCTCCAGAACATGAAACATAAACCACAGTCATGACACATCAAGACAAACACATTTACAGGACATTAGCATGGGCTAGGCAGATAGAGACAAATAGAAACAAACAGTACAGGTACTGCGAACAATACTTGAACAATACATGAACAATTAATGAGTGCAGGTGTAAGTGTGGAGAAGGTGTAGTTTGTATGTATTTTTGAAATATGTGGAAGATGGTAAAGTTCTGATGTGATGGGGAATGTCATTCCAAATTTTGGTGTATGTGTAAAAGAAGGACTTCCCACCATAGTTGTTTTTGTATGCAGGGATTGGGATGAGTGCCTGTGAGACTGACTTAGTGAGGCGCACTTGTCTCATATTATGTGTCGGTAGAAGTGCAGCAAGTGTTGATGAAGTGCTGCTTTTAATCTGAAAATAGTATGTAATAGCGTGGCTGTGTATGTAATTCTGGAAAGTCAAGGTGTTGGAGCGTGTGAGTGCAGAGCAGTGGTGTGACCAATTTGGGAGGTACCATATGCTGTACTCTCCTTTACTATTATATAACATTTAGAAGAAAGTTTCACTTCTACCTGATTTCTCTGTTTCAGACTCAAGGTGTGAAGTCCCAGGTGTCCCATCCCTGCTATCCTCATCAGTTCAACATGTCAATCAGGCTGGGGCAGGATGTCTTTGATTCCTCCTGCACTAAGGACTACAGACCAGCCCAGTTTGACCCTCAGATGTCTGTGTCAGTAGTGGGTACAGGAGATTACCAGACCTGCCTGGACAACGTTAAAAACATGTTCTCATTCACCAGCTGCTCCTTCACTAAGTGCTCCTTTGATGGAGTATTTCAGCCCAGCCTGAGAGGAAGCTTCATGGTGAGGGCTGACTTTTTGTAGACAGGACACTGAAGTCTTTACTTTTAAAATCAGGAGTCTACATATATTTTGATTATATAGTATGGGTCAGAATAGACGTTAACATATATCAAACTGACATTTAAAAGTTAGTTATTGCAGTATCTTCTTTACGGCTGTTTGTAATGTTCTCCAGCTCTGAATGGCTCAGGCTTTTCTTCTTCTCCTCCACAGGGTTTCTCTGCTTTCTTCTTCACTCACAGCTACATCAACCGCCTCACCAACATCACCCTCACGTCACCTAATCGAATGAAGGAGGCAATCCGACTCATGTGCAACATGAGCATCTCTGAGGTACTCTCAGGCACGCCGCTCTCTCAGCCTAGCCTATTAGATTTAAAGATTCTCACACAAGTTTATGTTTTAAACCTCAACCTAAGACCTTCATTTCTACCCAATAAGCATAATAATTAATTTGATAAATCTCTTCTTACTGTTTTTATGCACAGATGACTGAAAAGACAAAGGTGTCGGCCAAACACATGAAGAACGTCTGTGCCATCGCTAATTTTGTTCAGGTCCTCTTGACGCAGGGATACGGTTTCGATGAGCGCTCGCTTCCTTCCATCTCGTTCCAGAAAAAGGTCAGATTTAAAAAATATATATTTGTTAACATTTTTGTTTATGATTTGCAGGGATTCAAGTGGCTGAAATCAGGATGTGTGTGCGTGCTTTGCAGTCGTTTTAGAGTGTCTCGTCTCTTGTGTGTCTGCAGGCCGGAGGAGCATCTGTAGGCTGGGCTCTGGGCTACATGCTCAGTCTGAGCAGTATGGTACCAGCAGAGAAACTCGGGCTGGTGAAGGCTTTGCCCTCAGGGCCCTGGGCTGGCATCCTCTTCCTCTTCATCACCTTCCTCTTCTTTTCGCTGGGATACATGCTGATGATCTACAGAAACATAAGAACTAAAGAAGGCATGGTGTGACACGCCTCCTGCTCCTCTGCATAAATCCATCTGAAACGGTCGGCCTCTTAAAGGAAAACTGCATGAACAATGTATACAAACGTTATCAGTAAAATATTAACATGTCCTGCATATATTTGCTTTTAAAATCCACAAGCCTTCATGTTGCTCCTGAGATTCATGTCACTCCTATTCTAAATGTTTCAGACGTCTTATGCTATCTTAAAACTTGACTGATAACAAAGAACGTCTCCTCACGATGCCTTGGATATATAAGAAGTCAGGTTTTGGTGCCTTCAGTCGTTATTGGTCATGATTGTTCGGTCCTTCTCATCCACATGAACTGAGCTTCACTCTAATTGTGAGTCATTTGAAAGCAGACTGAAAACATACGTTTATATGCAAGATCTTAGATATTTATGTTGTGGTTTACATGTCAAGATTTAATCAGTATTGTATTTTTTTTTTTTAATAATCGCTCCTAGTTGGCATTTCTTCCAATGTGTTGTTATTGAATGTTTTTATATAAACCCTCTGTTTCTTTTGTTAATTGCTTATTTTCATATATGGTCTTTGACATTTTTATTTTGTTACGTTTTATTTGAAACAAGATTGAGTCTAAAATTCTATAATGTACGATAGAATTACGATAGAGATTAAAGTCATATATTTATGATATTAAATTTGTAATGCAACATAAATAAGGCAGTGGTTAAAATGATGATTCTGAAAAGTTGTATCATAAGAGCAGCTATCCGCCTGAGTGAAACTGAAACTGATGAAAGACATTTCTCGGCCACAAAAGAGACAACTTCCTCCAAGTCAGACAGTCTTTGAGTCTGTCTCCTGATACTGAGACAATGTGATGCTGATGTGCCAAAAGAATGTGTAGTTTCATATCTGCAGAAGTAAAGCCCCAACAAAACTATTCAGATATTTAGAGACCTCGTCAAACTGTTTTAAAGCAGATCAGTTAATATTCAGTCAATCTGTGTTTCAGACTACACAAGTAAGTCTTTACTTATTTTCTTTCCCCTGTACTAAAGTATAACTTCACAGGATGTTCTGCGTTCCTCATTTTCATACAGGTAGCTGCTTCTCTTCTGATGTAACTATAGGCTAACGACATTAATCTAGTAAATTTCCAACTTTATTCCCGTAAATGTATGACTTTAATTTTGAAATCTCAGGTTTCTTTCCCCCCCTTAATGTGGCCCTAATACGCCCTTTAACTAAAACTACATTTGTTTTGGCATAACAGCCATTAATGATACATAAAGGAATGAGTTAATTGTGATAGAAACAGCATGTGCGTGCTTCAGTGGATGCAAAATGCCTTAAATGTTGAAGTAAATGTGGGAAAGAAAACAATCATATTCTAATGAGTCCCCACCTGTGAGCAGTTTTTGTGGAGGCAGTTTGAAGAATGCTAATAATTAAGCATTCACCTGGTTTGAATCTAACTGGGGAAATGATGACTACTACTGTGAAACTTGTTGATTCAGATCCGTATAAACATGATCATTATATGTTCCAGTTTTCTGATCATCTGTGAATTAAAGCGTCTTAAATTCAGCTCAGTCACTCTGCTCTGTAACAACACAGACTGATAAGAAGATACGATAGATACAACATGCTGCAGCGATGCACTCCAAGGTATCAAGGTTTCTCCAAACCAGCTGTTGACTAAAATATAATAATGATGTTTACATGCACAACATAACACGATACTACTGCACATGTTAATGCACTCTGTGGCTCGCGGTACTATCGGGACAAGGTTCAGATTTTTGTGTTGTCACTAATTAAAGAAACGAATGAAGTAAAGTCTCCAAGAATCAGCAAGGATTCAAAAATGTCTGTAGAATTTGGGGAATCCTGTTTTCGATGACAATCTTTTACCAAATTTACATTTTACATTCATTAACTCCAATACTCCGCTTCAGTGACTAATTTAAAGTTCAGGTCTTTGTTTAAGGGGACACAGTGGCTGTACGGGAAGGCAAAAGAAACAAATGAAAACAGAAATGAAAGGATTTATTTGTATATTCTATATATCTATCCATATCAATATATTTTTATAATGAAGTCAAACGTAGAGAACAGAGTTGAACATTCAGCAAGTGTTGAAAGTCAGTTTATTTTCCCCTTAATTTAGACGTTTTCTAATGGACTCATAAGTCTGTCAGTTTTAGCCCCATTTAGACTGCCTTTTCAGACCCCTACACCCCCCTCTCTTACCCAAACCACAATGATGATGATGATAGAAAGTGTGCATGTACAGTATAATTATGTATTTGTAGCCTACATTTAGTTTATGAAATTGATAAAACATAGATACATAGTTTTTATTTATTTGATTGTTTTCTTCTCTTATCATTATTTTGTTGTGTATTGATGGTCATTATTATAAAACAGGACCCCCTCTAATAACTCAGGTGACAGCAGGTGGCGATATGCACTTTAAAATTGGGAAAGCAATCCGCCAAAAAAAACAAACAAAAAAAACAACACAAAGAAGAAGAAGGCGGAACCTGAGTCGTCGCTGGTGTTTGTGACGGACTGTTTACAAAGTCGGACCAGCGGAAATCTGCTTTGACAGAGAAAAAGCAAAGTGTGTTTTGTTTTGTAGGAAGTGATTCTCTTTACAGCTTTAACTTTACACGGTGGAAACAGATTTTCACGCATCATTTTATCTGTTAAATTAATGATTAAAGGGGAACAGAAGATGTTCGCGGGGCTTCCGGAGCTCGGGATCTCTAACGGAGAGGACCTGAAAGAAACTCTCACAAACTGCACAGAGCCTCTGAAGGCTATCGACCAGTTCCAGGTCAGACCCTCACACCACCACACCACCACGTCTACTGAGAAGTCTGTGGTGTTATAGTGTCTATATTTATATACCTGTACAATGTATACAGTAGTTATTATTATTATTATTGAGATAAAGTGACCGCACATATAACGAGACAGAAAACTATACAGATTACAGACAACTTTATCCAATACATCAGATAATTGCAACATTCAGAGATATGGAAAGAAGTTGTGTTTTTAGTTGTAATGAACTTGAAAATATTTGTCACTTAATTACCAAAGCTTGTGTCTTCACATATTTTGTTTAGATGTAGAGAGGTTTATTTATTTAAAACATGGGCTGACTAAACTGTTCAATTGAGAGAAAATTATATAATATTTTTCTACTTTAAGATTTGACTAGAGGCCCCACGATACGACGTTATCACGATACTTGAATCACGACCCAATATTATTGTGATGTAACTTTTCTAACAGCACATTATGTCTCTTAAATTAAACTAAGTCAAGAACAGTTTTGTCAAATAAAAAAAAAAAGAAAAGTCGATTCATCTCACGTCACTCTTTTTATTTCTGCACAGTGGGAGTCAAGCCCACAATACTATTACCTAAAATATATGTCACATTCACCCGACCTAAGTCGTTGCAAATAAGCATTTACTCCACCTCCTCTGCAATGAGCAGCTACATCTAGAGCTCTCTTATTCTCCCTTATTCTCCCTTATTCTCTCTTATTCTCTTATTCTCTCTTATTCTCCCTTATTCTCTCTTATTCTCTTATTCTCTCTTATTCTCTCTTATTCTCTTATTCTCTCTTATTCTCTCTTATTCTCTTATTCTCCCTTATTCTCCCTTATTCTCTCTTATTCTCCCTTATTCTCCCTTATTCTCTCTTATTCTCTCTTATTCTCCCTTATTCTCTCTTATTCTCCCTTATTCTCCCTTATTCTCTCTTATTCTCTCTTATTCTCTCTTATTCTCTTATTCTCCCTTATTCTCTCTTATTCTCCCTTATTCTCCCTTATTCTCTCTTATTCTCCCTTATTCTCTCTTATTCTCCCTTATTCTCTCTTATTCTCTCTTATTCTCTCTTATTCTCCCTTATTCTCTCTTATTCTCCCTTATTCTCCCTTATTCTCTCTTATTCTCCCTTATTCTCTCTTATTCTCCCTTATTCTCTCTTATTCTCTTATTCTCCCTTATTCTCTTATTCTCTTATTCTCCCTTATTCTCCCTTATTCTCTCTTATTCTCTTATTCTCCGTTATTCTCCGTTATTCTCCCTTATTCTCCCTTATTCTCCCTTATTCTCCCTTATTCTCTCTTATTCTCTCTTATTCTCCCTTATTCTCTCTTATTCTCTCTTATTTTCTCTTATGCATCATGTAACATCGCTAACCCTGAACCCACTGTGAGTGTACATAAGACTTTTAAAAACAAATGTTCAATATTTTAATCATGTAAATACTGTAATAATGTCCTCATCAATATATGCATACTGCTTATGTACATACTGTAAGAACTCTACCTCAAGTAAATTAATCATCTATTACATAATAGCATATATTCATCTCAGCATTTTTGCACTATTATCTTATTTTGCTTTGTATATATTAGTCTCTTTTTTTTTGCTTATATGATGTTTATATTTAATGTTATTCTTTTCTACATTGAGAGCAAAGTTACCGAACTGATGGTCACTAAAGCTGATTCTGATTCTGATGTCACTTGATGTGAGCTGGACGGGCATGTGAGGTCTTTCTTTATGAAGCCACACGATAATAAGAGATGTGCTGGAAACATGTCAAGGATCAAGCTGTAATTCATCACATTGCCTCCAGGTGTCAAAGTGAAGTTTAAAGGCAGGGTTGGTCATCTGCTCCAGATACACTTTTTAAGATGTTGGTGTAAATTGTCTTTAGGTCCTGACAGATATTAATAACTCATGTTCTCTGAAAAAGGATCAAAGAAAATCTGTCATATGCATCAGTTTCTAATCCTGTAAAAACTTCAACCAATGTCTGCCACGAGGTACCAATCTGATGAACCAATCATGAACCTCCCTGTCTCCCTGCTTGTTCTCTTCCCCTTGTGTGCCCTAGCCCACACTCAAAGCATGAGCTGAGGTCAGCTTCTAGACCAATGGCTTTTGAGGGAGCACAGAGGGGAGGGGCTGTGTGCAGACGGACCACTGAGGGAATGCTACTTTCAAAATTATGCAAGTTTCTGAAAATGACCAATCCTGCCTTTAAGTAAAGAACATGCCAACAGACTTAAAGAATCACAGAATTTCAGATGCACTTTTTCATTAATACATCATCCAATTTTTCTTTCACTCTGTTTTCTTCTCTGATCTTGCTTATATGTCACTGAATGAAATTCTTCTTACTTGTGCACCTCTGGCAGACATGACACCTTCAGGATATGTGAGACCAGATATGTTCCTTTTGCATCAACTTTAGTTGATTAGGCTGTTACATCACTAGAAGGACGCATTTGGCTTTTTGTTTCTCTGCGTGTTAAATGGCTGTTAACATTGAGACCAGCTTCTCGACTGCGCCCCACTCAGTGGAGCTAGCTGCTAGCACCATTAAAGAGATCACACCTCCCTGAGTCTTTGATACGTCGCATAACTTGCAGATGGAAAATGGGATCCTGCTGCCGACCCTCCAGTCTGCTCTCCCCTTCCTCGACCTCCATGGGACGCCTCGCCTGGAGTTCCATCAGTCCGTCTTCGACGAGCTCCGAGACAAGCTGATGGAGCGAGTCGCCACCATCGCGGAGGGAAAAGAAGAAGACAGGTGTGTCACCGGGCGTCTTTGACTTCAGAAGTGTTATCTGAGGAGAATACACGTGTTGCTATTGGTTCTTTGTTTCATTTCATTCTTGTTACAGATACGGGAAGCTGGAGGAGCTGCTGGAGAAAAGCTTTCCTCTCGTCAAAATGCCGTCCATCCAGCCGGTGGTGATGCAGGTGCTCAAACATCTACCCAAGGCAAGTGTTGTAAACGCTTATTTCGGTCACTAAAGAGTGAAAATAGAAATGTACTTTAGTAGAGTCTGAAGTATAAGCAGCACTGTTCCTGAACAGTGTTATTCTCCATTAAAATCTTCATAAAGGCTTTTTAGAACCAGCTCACTCTCCTACTGACCCCTGATATAAGAGCCCTGCTGCACCTTGTTCACCAATCATTTAATGTTACCACTGTGAGTCTAGATAACTGAACTGTTTAGTTTAATAAATGTAATGTGTAATGTTACCAGAATAAATTTAATTTAGTGTCTTCCATCCATCCATTATCTTTGCCGCTTTTCCCGTTTTCGGTCGCGGGATCACCCGGAGGAAACTCATGCACAGGGAGAACATGAAACCATCTTTCCATGAACTTTTGGAAACTGTTTGTGATTTGCTTTCATGGTGTATAAAGAGTAACCTCTGGGAGCCAGCACTGTCATGAGATATAGTGTGGAGCAGCTCATGTTTACCACATGCTCCCTCCTGCAGGTACCAGAGAAGAAACTGAAGATGGTGATGGCTGACAAAGAGCTGTACAAGGTGTGTGCAGTGGAGGTGAAGAGGCAGATCTGGCAGGATAACCAGGCTCTGTTTGGGGATGAAGTGTCTCCCCTCCTGAAGCAGTACATCGTGGAGAAGGAAGCAGCTCTGTTCAGCAGCGACCTCTCCATCCTGCACAATTTCTTCAGCCCGTCTCCCAAAACACGGCGCCAAGGAGAGGTGAGTCGCCGTCTGCACGTCAG